CTCAGCTGAACTTCAGAAAGTGCCCATAAAATACCTCCTTTAAGGATAGCTAGTGCAGCACTTAATTCGGGTACTGGTACTTAAATAAAGTAATAAGTTATGTTAAGGCTCACCGATATATAAAGTTTTGAGCACACGAAAACAATCAGATCAGTGCTTTCAAGCTTAAATACTCAGATGGGAATAGCCTGTGTACAGACGACCCCCCTTCCTTCCCGATTTTTTGTGAGGGAGGGGGCACGTCTGCACACAGGCTACTGATAAACAATGGACGTAATTAATTTACAAATTTACATGTGGCATGAAACAAAAACCGGTCAGGATTGGGTATTTGCTATTAAATTCTAATTTTGACAAGCCTATCTACACTGTATATAGACTAGTCAAAACAACTATAAGTTACAAGCTGTAGTCCGAATGCGCGGCTTCGAAGTACCATTTAATTTGTGCGTGGAGCATTTGAGGGATACTCATTACTTTGCGGAGGGTAGAGGAACAGGCAATTAAATTTTACATTTCCGTCTTTTTTACACCCCTTTTCTCCCGCCTCCCTTACTTTTTGGCCTATTCTCTTTTCTCCCTTATTTCCCCCTTTTTCCCTTGTTTAATGTATAGTAGTTGTTAAATATGTCAATTTATGACTCCTTTTACCACTCATAATGTATTATCGTTAATTAAAAATATTTAGCCATTTCTGTTTGGCTTTAAATTCCTGGCTAGCTCTTCAAAACATGCTATGGCTTATAAAATCTAGAACAAAAACATCACTTTGTCCAATAACAGATACAGTTCTTGAACGAACGATATCAGTGGCGCTCTCTTTGTTAAGTAAGCGCAAAAAGTGTTGGGATATTTCTAAATGATTAACGAAATAACTGACCCAAACTAATCTAAAGACCTTGCAAGAATATATACACAAAGAAAGTTGCATGCCCACTGCCTCTTGAGGAATGTCTGCATAGAAACCCAGCTAAACCCACTCGTCCATGATGACATCATCTCAGTGGCGGTGCTTCAGACTGAGAGGCAGCTGTATTCGTACGCTGGTCAACAAGTGATTCGGATTGCATCATTTCAATTGCAAATTACTGGTTCCCATCAGACTCTGAATCCCCATGATGGGCGGGTGATGAGGTTTGATAGTTATATACATTACAAATTGCACTCTATTAGTGGTTCCTTGATTTAAGGGAAACCGTATGGCACCTGAAAGTTCCCGTCTAACTTGCCATCACCCACATGACTTGTCTGTACAGGTACCAAAAACGACTAAGTAACTTAATGAGGAAGGTTATCCTCGTCTTCAATAAAAACCATCGTTGCCTTGATCGCCTCGCCAAATCAGCCTCAACCGCAGGGCTCACTTAAATCGTCATCAAACTTATCCTTTTCCAACAGAGTGTCGACTGGATACTTAAGTTGAATCTTATTTGAAATATATTGTGAAACAGAACAAGCGTGAAATACAGTGATCTCATTGGTGTCTGGGCTCTTTGCCCATTATTGGCGAAACTCGTTGGGCACTAATGTGAACATGCCCTTTTTTCAAGTATCCACGCCATGCTTCGAGCATGGTGCTGGTTTCCTAGTACAGGTTCGAGACCTTAAACTCGGGCACTCCTTAAATGTATACGTGTGCTCGTTTCTGTTACCGGTTTTGGGGCTATCAATTGCTTTTTCTCGCAGCTGAGCTCACTTTTAAAGTGACGTTTGACAGTACACAATTTCATACTGGGTACCCACGATACTCAGGCATTAGAAGTGGCAATATTTTATCAAGGGCAATGCCTCTCGCAGGCTGTTATCCACCTCGGCATAACATTCTCCTCGATCTGCATAATTCTACACATCATACTTAGCCTCATCCTATAACTATTATATATTTATTGTAACGGAAATACTTTTTGTACTGCGACTTAACGACTGTGTTTATAATTAGTTCACTGTTGTCTAAGGTTTGATTTGTATCGGTCCATTTTATTCACTCGACTCATGAAAAGCTCGTCGTCTATAACGGGCCTAAGACATTCTGAAACGGGTAACATGACAGTGGCAGATCCAGGGGAGGGGCCTGGGGGGCCCGGGACCCCCTTATTTTCAGACCAAACTATGGCCCGAAGGGGCCGAAAAAAAACATTTTGGAGACCGCTTCCCCCCCCCCCCCCCACAAACGACCGCGTGCCAGCCCCCCCCCCCCCCCCCCCCACCCCCCCCCCGGGCCCCCCCCACCCCCAAACCTTCCTAAAATATTTGGAGCCAAAAATCTTCCAACAAAACAACCATTTAAAAACCCCCCCACGCCCCCCCAAAAAAAACATTCTCACACACCCCACCCCCAAAAAAACACCACACCACCACAAATGGTGTTACAACAAAACAAAAACAAGAAACTTCTTTTTTGTTTTCTTTG